CGCCATTGCTTTACAACATATTTTGCTATGATATATATAGCCATCAATTCCCAAATGAAAACCAATTTAGTTTCGAATCATACACTCAATTTGCCGATGACACGGTATTAATCTCCCACAAAAAATCCATACCACAAGTTATGATGAGCATGCAAAACATAGTTAACTCGACATCAGAATGGTTTTCAAAATGGAGACTTACACCAAATCCTAGCAAATCTCATCTTTTCATCTTCCACCACCGTATTACCGACCAGTCTCCATCCATTTCTCTGCAAGGCCATACAATTCACCCAGAAAAATCCACCAATTACCTATTACTATTATTATTAGACCATAAAATTAATCTGAAACTGCACACCCAACTAACAAAAAAGAAAACAATAGCCAGGGCAAAACACTTTTCTGGTTTAAGGATTAACAACTATGGATTAAGCATCACAAACCTTATCAGAATTTACAAACTGATCTGTAGACCAATTATCGAATATGGTTTCCCCTATTTCTCAATGCCAAATCTCCCACCTTAAAAAACCTACAAGTAGCTGAAACATCATTACTAAGGAAAATTTCAAAAATCCGACATCCCAACAATCCGCTACATAACCCTCCCAATCCTTTGTTATACCAAAGAACAGGAATAATTCCAATAAAGGAGAGAATTCGGATTTTGGCAGCCAAATACAGAGAGAGAGAAGAGTCAAAAGATATTTTTATGGAATTTTGCATGACAAGATTGGAAAATGCCAGGCCCAGACATCCATCAAAAATAACCATTGAGTTAATTCTCAATGATAATATAAACTAAAGGGTGGGCCATCTATAAGTTGAATTTTAAACTACGTGCTATTAATGAAGCTTTCAACTTAACCGCCATGAATTGCTGACAGTGGTTTAGTTTTAACCTTCCGATTACAAAATATGCACCGAATAAATTTGGATCAACGTTTCGAAATACTCAAAACTTACTTTGAATGTGACTGTGATCGCAGAGATGGCACGAAAATTGCGTTTGGAAGAAATGAGGCGCCGTCAAACCAAAGTATACCAATTTGATCAAAAAATTGCTGGTTGACATAAAACATGTTTCGCATGCTCGTCCTAGACGTACTCCTGAAGCAATCGCTGCTGTGGCCGAAAATGTACGCATGAACGCGTCAACATCAACTCGGCGCAGACGTCAACAACTGGGCCTTTCCCGTACCACTCTGAGGATGATTCTGCACAAAGACCTCGGTATGTTTGCGTACAAAGTCCAGCTTGTTCAGGAGTTAAAGCAAGTTGACCATCCACAACGTTTTCGCTTTGCTGAGTGGGCTTTAAACCAGTTGAACGATGACCCTAATTTTGTAAGAAAAATCATCATTTCGGATAAGGCGCATTTTTACCTCGGAGGTTATGTCAACAAGCAAAACTGTAGGATTTGGGCCACGGAAAATCCACCCGTCGCCGTAACAAAGCCTATTCACCATTTAAAACAAAACATTCAAGCTCAAATTGCCTAAATAGAGCAGCAAACTTTTGACAAAGTGCTCAAAAATTGGTGTTCCAGGATGGGCTACTGCCGAGCCAGCTGAGGTGGCCACTTAAATAAAATAATTTTCCATACTTAATCGGAAGAAATATTGTATCAAATAAAGCAAAATTCGTTGAAAAAAAATCAGTTTTTCTTGTTCTCATTGCTATTTTAGTCGTTTTTTCGCGTAAATACCATGAAATACTATGGTCATTAAACTTAACCTTGGTTAATAGTTAAGGCATTTTTGCGTTTAGAGTGCGTTCAAAAATCCTAACTATGACGTCACAAATACCAGACCATAAAACTATATCGCTGAGCTAGTTATTCAACGTGGTTAATAGTCTTTCTCTTTTTAATATATATATTTAATATGTTTATGTAGGAATAATGTTGTGTGCTAAACATATCTTCTCCAAAACATACCGCCAACCTTCGTCTTTTTCTTTGGGGTTCCATTCTAAATTTTGAGTTTCACAATAATAATTTTCGTATAAACGTTAAACACTGTTGGATTTTAATTATGGTTAACAACAGTGAAGAACTGTTTATATATAAAAAGAGGTATAGAAAAGGTAGGTATAAGAACTAGGGTTCATAGAAAAAGAATATACAAGGTAAAAGAAGAGGCAAAGAAATTTATTTACACCTGTAAAAGCATAGAAATTAAATATAAATAGGTAAAAACACATTTTAAAAATTATAGGTTATGAAAAAGTAAACAAATGTCAAATGTTAGAAACCTAACCATGGTTATATGAATTAACTGTGACGTCATGACTTATTTAACCGTAGTATTTCATAGTATTTACGCGAAAAAACGACTTTTATAATTCAACATAAACATGGCCCACCCTTTAGTTACATATGTATATACAAGGTGTCCCTAAACTTAGTGGCATAAATTTAGGAGCAGATTAAGCAAGTCAAAATAAGACGAAAATCTAAATAAATATTTTTCCTAATTACGTATGTTTCAAAGATACAGGGTGATAAAGTGTTACTTATAATATGAGTTTTTTTAATATATCTTCTACTGTGGTAGACTTGGAAAGGTGATATTTTGCGAACAGTATATACAAGGTGTCCCTAAACTTATTTGCATAAATTTAGGAAAAGATTGAGCAAGTCAAATTAAGACGTAAACCAAATAAATATTTTTCCTAATTACTTATGTTTCCAAGATACAGGGTGATAAAGTGTTACTTATCATATCAGTTTTTTTAATATAACCCCCACTATGGTAGTCTTGGAAAGGTGATATTTTGCGAACAGTCACTTACTACCAAAACGCATATTTACACATAATTACAATTGTTTGAGTGAACACAGTGTCGTAGAAACAGGGGTTGCTTAAGCTTATTGTCCCATACAAACTTTGAGGTTACGTTTTTATACCATTTGATGCAATTTTTCGATTACTCAGTTCGGCTACTATTAAAAAGGTGTACCTCTTAAACTTCGATAAAATAAACCGTTTCCGAGATATTCGAGATTACAATAATTGTTATATCGTATTAAAGGACTAGAAGGTATATGGTAACAAATTATTTAATTGAAAAAACTACATTTTTTTTAATGTGACTGTCAGGGCAAAAAGTCCTGAGGCTCATGGAATGGTCTTTTTAGTTTTTTTAATTAAAAAATAAAATTTGTTATCATATACCTTTTAATCCTTTTAAATAATGCGATACAACAATTATTGAAATCTCGAATATCTCGGAAACGGTTTATTTTATCGAATTTCACAGGTACACCTTTTTAATGGTAGCCGAACTGTGTAATCTAAAAATTGCATCAAATGTTATAAATACCTAACCTCAAAGTTTGTATGGGACAATAAGCTTAGAACAACCCCCATTTCTACGACACTGTGTTCACTCAAACAATTATAGTTATGTGTGAATATGTGTTTTGGTAGTAAGTGACTGTTCGCAAAATATCACCTTTCCAAGACTACCATAGTGGGGGTTATATTAAAAAAACTGATATGATAAGTAACACTTTATCACCCTGAATCTTGGAAACATAAGTAATTAGGAAAAATATTTATTTGGTTTTAGTCATAATTTGACTTGCTCAATCTTTTCCTAAATTTATTATTTATTAAATAAGTTTAGGGACACCTTGTATATATACCGTACCTTCATTTGCAAGCTATACATAGGGAAAATACATTGTAGGTGGACCAGACAAGTCGAAGTCAGCGCAAAGCGAAAAAGTTCTCAGAAATTATTAGGACGTAATAAAATTTTAATCGCCAGTAAACAAGGTCACCTGTTACGTCGCATGTTAGTCTACTCATCCACTCGTCAAAATAATTTCTGGGAACATTTTCGTTTCGCGCTGACCGGCGCGACTTTGACTTGTCTGTTCCAACTACAATGTATTTTCCCTATATATAGCTTGCAAATGAAGGTACCTACGGTATATATTTTGTTTTTTTTTATTTATTTTTGTATATTTTTTGACAATCAAAATATTTTAGTATAATTATTAATAAGTATTTCAAAAATGTATCCAACAGCTGACCTCTATAACTTGTTTAGAATTAGATCTATAAAAAGTATTAATGAATATCAAACAAGTATGTTTATAAATAAAGTCCTTAATTCTAAAAGACACTCATGTCTTAAGTTCACTTATAGAAATAATGTTCACGATCACTCGACAAGAGCCAATGCAGAGGTGAATCTACCTCAAGTAAATTCCCAAATGGGAATGAACTCGATTTCCTACAGGGAAGTCCATTTATATAATAGGCTGCCTAACAGCATTAAAAATTTTAAAGGTCACAAATTTAAAAAAAACATAAATGATTATATTCAATATTACAGGGAGGACTAAAAAAGACTGAAGAAAAAAAAAAAAAACTTAAGTTGAGGTTAAAGCTTGCTTTATTTATTTTAAGTATATCTGTGATATTTAATAATGACTGTATTAGTGATAAATGTATATGTAAATATATATGTATAAATGTGTATAGTGTATTTAAGTAACTATAAGAATTGTGTATGACGATTGTTAATGTAAATATGTACTGAATTATAATGTGTATACAGAGGTGTCCCTCTATAAAATATCCTTTATATGTTTTTTTGGGACGAATAAAGAATTATTTATTTATTTATTATTTATTATATTCCGGCTGAAGGACGAAAGTCAATGGCCATTTGAAAAATGTATTTTTTTCAATAAGTAAAGAACATTTATTATTATTATTATTAACTTTTACGTTTATTTTCAATCAATTAAATTTAATTCAATGTTTAGTTTCATTTGTTATTTTTCTGTAATAAATGATTTATTTAATTAAAATAATGTTAAGTTGTTAATTGCTACTAAGTAATTTCCAAAAAAAAACAATTTATTCCAAAAAAGCCAATTTTTCGAAGACCTGGGAAAAAACGGAAAACAGGTTTTTTCCCCAATTTTTCCGGGTTTTTTTCGACACTTTAAAATCCTAATGCCAATAAATATTTACCAATTTATTAGATTTATCTATTGTCTCCTGATATGATTGATAATCAGTTTGGCATTGAGTAGAAACACAATTTTGACCAGATTGCTTTAGTCCTTCCCTGTATAAATTGTATAATTCTGGTGGTTTAGCAATATTTAAACCTACATCGTCCCAATCATCAAAATCCTACAATATAACAAAAAATAAGTCAATAAAGAAAATTAAAAAATACGAACCTGATTTTCATTTTCATCTGCAAATGTAATTGATGTTAATTTATAACCGTGAATTAATAAATACTCATTTATTAAAAAATTTAATGCCCTTTGCTCATGAGGTTTAATTGCACTTTTTGTTATGTTCCGTATGGATCCTTCATTTAAATTACTTGTTTCAGATTCTATAAAGTTGACTGTAAAACAACTAGATAATAATGATTATAATATAATTGGGGTACCTGTAGCAACTGTTAAATTATTTCTGAGAGCATTAATTGTTTCTTTAGCTTTACGTAATTCAAATTCCAAAACAGCAACTCTTTCATCAGAACCATCACCAAATTCAGAGAACCTTGTTAAATCCAAACTATCAAGAGTCGCTTGACTACCAGATCTTGCTAAAAAATTTATCAAAACAATTTAAAACTTAATTATTTTAGGTTAACTTACATATTCGGCTGGGTATTTCTTGGGTTTGTAGTTCAAAATTTCCTGGATTTGAAAAAAAATCTTTTAACAATTTAAGTTCCCTCCCAGATTCTACCAATTCTGTATGGAATTCTAAAGCAGTTAAAAGAAATTTGTCTTGAATTAATTTTGTTGCAATATCATTGTAACTTATTTGCAACAAATGAGATTTTACATCTCCACTAGAGAAATTAATCGACATTTTTGCTTCATTTAAATGAAGTTTTAACTAAAATTTAATCTAAATATTTACAATTTTGCAATAACAAACATGACAGCTGTCATTTTTTTTGACATTCAAAACTTCACAAAATGAAAAGTGCGGGAACTTTGAATTGGTTCTAAGTTTATTTTTTCAGTAAACACAAGTATCCTTGATTATAATCATACACCATATACAAAATAATTCTAAATTTAAAGGTGTATTTACATTCTAGAAAAGTATACATAAATAAGGGATGTTACTAAATAAAAAATATCTTGGACTTAGGCATTCGTTTATTTTCTTAAGCTATTTGTACAGTGCAGTATATACAAAATAATCCTACACTAAAATGTGTATTTATACATTTGATAAAATTATACACCAATAAATTAATATACAAAAAATTAAAATGGAAACAATATAAAATATCTGTACTATCAGCTATTTATATGCATGTAGCACCATCACATTTATATAAATTATAAATTATTTATTATAAAATCACTTATAAGTGAGTCTTTTTATTCACTATTTATAATGTTGCCAGTATTCGAGTGAAACCCATAGATGCTGTTACAACAGTTTGACCACATCCCCAAAAAAGGGCATATAGAGGATTCATTGGTAAACTAGACGCTCTGTATACAAAGGCTATTGCTGCACTACTAACTATACCCGTCACTGCTGGTGTCACCACTCCCATTAACAATATACCAATGGGAAAAAACTTCCCGAACTTATGTTTTCTTAATGTGAGAAATGCTATTGATCCAGCAATCTAAAAAACAAGTTTTAATAATAGTTTTTACCAGTTTTTATATACTAATCAAGCCAATTAAGGTTTTTACTTCTTAATTCTCAAAAACAGCGTTTTTGATTATTTTTATTATAAATTATTACCAAAGGTTTACATATCAATACATACTAATAAATATATTAAAAACATAAAAAATTAATAATATAAAAAGATCAAGAGTCAAGAGTATAAGTAGCATTTTTACACTACTTAAAAAAGTCTTGTTCTTGTTTTTTAATGTTTTTGGTAACTTGTTAAACCCAAAAATTGTGTGATGTTCTAAACAGGCATGATATTATCATTTTTATTTTGTTATTTATATATATATATTGTTCATTCGAAACAACAATGACACAACTCAAAAATCACAGTTTTTGAGAAAACGCATTTTAAATTTCTTATTACTATTTTCCATTTACCACCTATAAAAGCTTGGCTCAAATATTTTGTTGTTTAGGCATACTCTCTAAAAAACATTATAAAGAAATTTAAAATGCGTTTTCTCAGAAACTGTGATTTTTGAGTTGTGTCATTGCTGTTTCGAATGAACAATATATAACATTGAAATATATCGGATATTTATATAAATATCATGATATTTGCAAACCTTATGGCAAATATATATCACTCGATTTATATTGGATATTTATCTGATATTTATATAAATACGAGTATAAATATCATGATATTTTCAAAACACGATATATATATTTTAGTTATATAGGATTGAAATATATAATATTTGTATAAACAGCAATGGGCAAAAAAAAGTTTTTACCTCAAGTAGAGCTACTATTTTAATCATTTTTTAAATCAATAATGTTTATAATATTAAGAAATATTTAATAATTAAAGTTTTTGAGGATTGAATTATTATTGTTTTAGAACAATATAAAAAATGTATGTATGTAAACTAAATATTTTTGATTTTTAATAAGGGCAAACATTAAAATTATATATCAAAAATGCAGCTGTTCCTTTTATCTATATGCATTACATATAATTAAATTATATTATATTATAAATTATATTCATATCCAAATATATGCCGAGTTAAACAGACTGCTTATAACCAATCAGAATTTGGGGGTGGGTCTAATTTGGCTCCAGTTTAAAAAATATTATTTTCCCTTTTTTAATTGCTTTTCATATAATATATATATATTATTATCATAATTTAAAAGTATGTAAATGTAAATATGCCTTCCTACAAGTCATAACAAACATTAAATAAAAATAGGTTTCGTGAGTATTAGGTAGTTTTAACAAATTTTAATCTTCATTGACTAAGTATAATTGCCATTTACTAAATCATTAGTAGAAACATAGATAAAACACTCCTGGTTATGAATAATAAGTAGGTACCTAGGTACCTGCTGAACTTTGACTCCAAATTCCTTGTAAGTTTAAATGTTTACTTACTGTGTGAACAAAAATGGATGAAAACAATGCCCACAAAAAGACATGATACCACATTTTGGTGAAGGTGTCTAGTGGTACAGATTGTAGCCAAAGCACTGTGCTGAGGGAATCCATGGTGGATCCCTCGGACATAACTGCTTCAGCCCAAATTATTTTTATGTTACACTGTCATGGTCGCAATTGGGTTCCTCCATTGTCGACCCCCAGACTTTAAACTTTCAATATCTATCAGTTATGATAAAATAAACTGATAACTGATATAACTGTCTTGAATGATATATGTAAACTTTCCATTTCACTTATCCACTTACTAGGTTCTGTTAATTAAGAATACCTACTTTATATTTATAAAATATCAGACGTACATATTTTTACTAAATGATTCATTTTAAACATAATAAACTGTCACTGTGACATTTCGTATTATATGGGATTTAATCTACAGTGGTGCCAAGTCTATATTTTTAAAATCAGAATGTCAAAGACATTGAATACCTATATATTTTTATTTTTTAAGGCAAAGTAAAAATTATATTGTATGATCGTTGTATTACAATTAAATAAATAGCTGTTAAGCCTGATTTATAGATTGCCTTCCTTCCTTTCTTCCTCCCGTAAAAGATGAACAATACGAAAATCGTAGTCCCATTTATAGATTCCCGTACGGAAATCTTTAAACAGCAGAACGGTTTTTGTATTGTTTATATTTTACGGAAGGAAGGAAGGAAGGCAATCTATAAATTAGGATTAACAGTTATGTATTTAATTGTAATACAACGATCATAATTTCCCAAGTATATACCTACACAGTTATCTAGACAAAAAAAATGACACTGGTACCAACATAAATATAGGATTACTAAACTTAATTAATTAATTAATTAAAGTTCATTTTTTTAATCTGGACTCGGCAACGTTGCAAATTTAGGGTTTTAATTGGTAAATACAGTTGTCAAGTTGGTCGCATTGATTAAAACAAACTAAGCTAGTTATAACTCTAATTGTGGTTATGTATATTTATTGTAGGTTACATTGTGCAGTTGTACAGTTAAGTTGTCGAAATTCGTAGTTAAAAATGCAATTAATTTGGCTTTGGTGGTGCTTGGATGAGTAAAATCATATAAAAAAGTAGGTAGTTAAATATAGGTTGCTTTACGGAAGAGAAAGTATTTCTAGCGGATAATAATCTTCGCTTCGAAAAGAATTTATATAAAAGAAATTAAAATTTTTTGTGAACGTAAATGTTGTTCAATGGTGAATAATTTGAAAATAATGTGTGATGTATTATTTATAAAACCAAATTCGTTACTTCCCACACAGCACATATATCCATTGGACGTCCAGTGGACGGCCATTGTACATCCAAACGTCCAATGTAAATCCATTTGACGTCCATTGGACATCTTGTGCTGTATGGTTTTTCTACTCAAAAAATGTCCAACGTACTTTTTCTTCCATTGTGGCATTTGGCATAATTTCATCAAAATGAAGTTTTGCCTTAAAAAGGGCTTTTTCATTCGAATTCGTTGCTATTATTTTTGGCATAATTATCTTTTTATTTATAATTGACAAGTAAATTATCAATAATAAATATTATTGTCAATTTGACAGTGTCAAAGTATTTAATTAAATTCTTTAGCAGAAGTACCATTTTTAAATTCTAAAAATACCAAGTCAAACTGGCATAAGCCACCATCCTAACAAAAAAACACGAGTCCAGATAAAAAAAATGAACTGTACCTATAGGTATATATTTACTTATATTCAATTTGCTGATATTGTAATTTTGTGTTGTTATTAAATAATTAAAAATGACGAATATGGCCGGCTATTGTTGGACAAAAGTTAATAAAAATAGTTCTATTCAAAAAAGGAAAATAATAACAGGGCTGCTAAAAAGATCCGTAACTTAGTTACTTTAAAGTATCTAAGTTACTGTATCTTAGTTCCTTTATTTTTTTAACAAAAAGTCTCTAGTATCTTAGATATTTTTTAAAAGGAACTGTATCTTGTAACTTAAAAAAAGTATCTTAGATAGGTACCGAAAAGTATCTTAGATACCAAAAAGTAACTTAGATACAACGATAAATATACTTTAGTAAAACTTTATATGTCGGGAATAAAAATATATTTAGGATAAATAAACTGTACCCTTGTCCCATATTTAAATATTTTTTTTATTTGGGAGCAATAAACTTTTTTCTCAGTGTACCAAAAGGTATCTAAGATACCACAAGAAAAGAACTATAAATTGCAGAAAGTGATACCGCTACCGCTACCTTTACCTCTACCTTTACCGCTGCCTCTACCGTTACCTTTAAAACTATAAATCCAGCTTTAGTCAAGTTGTTCGAAACGGGCGCGGCCATCGAAGTTATTATAATAAGTATACTGGCGACTTCAGCGACTGGCGCCAATCGACTGGCGGCGATTTTTGTTATACCTACTTAATTTTTATTCACCTATACTTCTTTTATAATCTGTGACTTCGCCACCCGCTCTGTAGAAGGGTGTTTCCGTTCGTTGCGACTTGAATTTATAGACTATAAATTATAGTGGTAAGTCTAAAATAAGTTAGGTTAGGTAAGTACTTGCACCACAAAACTAGAAGGTTTTGTGACTTGCACTTGCTTCTTTATATACATCATATGATGTACTGATGTAGGATATTGGTTCTTACATTGTACCGTACATTCTATAATGTTCAATGTATGTTTTCCATTTTAAATTTAAAAAAAATGTTAAAAAAGATTAAATGAAAAGTGTGAGTTAATTTTTTTATTTATTTTTTATTTGTTTAATTAACGATTTTATCTCTTTTTATTTTTAAGATATTTTAAAAGTGCCTAAGTTAGACACTTTTTGCATTAGACCCTTCAATGGTTTTAATCAACTAGATTTTATTGAAATTTTTTTTTTTTAAAAGTAAGCTTAAAATTATTTGAAAAATCAGGGTGGGGTTGGAACGAATTTTTGTTGGGCGGTGTATACGAATCTTAAAAAGTAACTTAAGATAAGTATTTAAGTTCCTTTTTGTAAAGAGTAACTAGATACCCAAAGTAACTTCGGATACTTTTTCAAAAAGTAACTTATCTTGTATCTAGATACTTTTTAAAAGTATCTTTGACAGCTCTGACTGTGGACAACGCACAGAACATAAGGGACAACGAATGCTCTTGGCGCGACAATTGTACTTACCAGCCAGTGTTGCCACTTGTAACATAATTATCGAATTGTAACATAATTTTTTCTAAAAACAAAGCTTGAAATTATATGTAACATAATCGATAATTGTAACATAATTTTAAATCCAAGTATCTGGACAAAATTAACTTAATTCTATCCAGATTAATTAATTTAATTAAGCATAAAGCCTGATTTATAGATTTCCTTCCTTCCTGCCGTAAAAGATCAACAATACCGTAGTGCTGTTTATAGATTCCCGTACGGTATTTATAGTTCTAAAGGTAACGGTAGAGGCAGCGGTAGCGGTAGCCAAGTTGGGCATTGAATATTATATGAAACATTTTATAGACTATAAATTGTTTCATATAATATAAATTATAGTTCTCAGAGGTAACGGTAAGGGAAGTAGAGGCTACGTAGCGGCAAGAGATGACCATCTTTCATCTTTTCTTACCTCAACCGCTACTCCAGCCAATCACATGGCAGTTTTTAGTTGACAGCCTCGCCTTGTAAGTTTAGTGTTTATGCGATTGACCGCCATTACCGCTACCGCTACTTTCTGAACTTTAAATCCAGCTTTATAGTATTTTTAACAAATTTTATAATTTTCCAAAAAATCGATAATATTTACAACCCGGCTTCTTTCACTTTTTTATGATTAAATTATAATAATTATTGTAACATAATTATTACAATTATTGTAACATAATTTTCCGAAAATTCGATAATTTTATTAACCCAATTCGATAATTTCAACTTTTACATCTGGCAACACTGTTACCAGCTGACATAACGACTTGCGATTTTCTTATGTTTTATAGAAATAATACTCCTAGAAGGCTAGTAGAGTGAGAAGTCCCTCACGGAGAAAGGGAGATAGATGATGGGTTGGGATTGATATACGCTTGCGCGGGCATATACATAATGACGTAGTTATATAAGGTGAGTTCGGGATTGCGGTTTGGTGTAAGTGTAGTGCGGTGTAGTGTTGGAGTAGGGAGTTAAAAGTGCATTCGCAAGAGAAACCTATGATTCGCAACCCGAACGCTTCGGTGTTTTTATGGTGTGATATTTGACAGATTCATAACCATAGATAAATAACTTAACCTTAAAAGATTGCAATGAATTTCCATCGCCATCGATTACCTGGTTTGCTACTACCAATTATTAATATGGCTCGGGAATTATAGCAAAATTATGTAGCAAATTATAGCAAAATTATGTAGGTATCACCGTTGTTATTATCACAGAATTGTTAACAATTGTAACTTTCAATTTGTAAGGTTAAAACCATAGAACAACACCTGTTGTTGTGTTGTTCCATGGGTAAACCTTTAATTCAAAAATGTAATACCTACCTAAAGCGCATGCCCGCACCAAAGCCCTAGCTCACAAGTCGGGGCGTTTGGTGCAAACACCGTTCACACCACACTAAAATACCCGAACGCAATTACAATCACACTTTTTACATTAATTGCATACCCGAACTGCTAAGTGCGCACGGTGTGAACGGTGTAGCAATCCCGAACTCACCTATAGTCGCTCGCGATACTGTTTCTTGGTTACACCGTTGCCAAACGAAGTACTTAATCCAAAACGGGATCTTTTAAAAATTAAATCCATATTATTTCTATGCCCTATAGTCAGGGTTGGGTCAGTAGAAAACCTTAGGTAATTTACCTTGGTAGAAAAGGGTAGAAAACTTGTTTTCGACTTGCGTCGAAAACCTATAGGGTTTTCTACCTACGTAAATTACCTTATTCGACCTTCTCCTTCCACTTCTCTATAATTGATAAAAATTTGCCCTCATGCCAAAAATTATGTTGGGGTCTCCCAACCAAACGTGGCCTTTTTTTTCCCATCATAATAATGTTAAAAAACTCCAAATAACTTCAAATTTATGGTAGGTGTCTGATTTTTCACAACATTTAACAAATCATAATAAACAACAAACTTGCATAACCTCACATTTTTTGATATTTGACAGTATTCTACTTTTTTACGTTTTCTACCGTCGAAAACGTCGAAAAAGGTTTTCTACATATCGAAAACAAAAATGTAGGTAGATACCCAACCCTGCCTATAGTCATGTACTCTAGTTCACTAGTGGAGGTGATGCGGACAGACATCACAGATTGACATATTAGTTATAGTAATTTTTATTAGCAGTTGGTATTAATCTAGTTGAATTAATCTAGCCGACAAAAGGTGGGTAATCAAAATCCGTAAAATCTTTAAATGTTCAATCAAATAAGGACATATTCTTATTATGTACGTTTTATATTTTTATTTTCGCATACGTAATTTGATTATTAGTTTTTTAGAAGACCTGGTAGCAATGAATATAGCTGATTTGCAAGATGATAGTGATACTAGCGACGAGGATTATGTTCCTGGTGAAAAGGCAGAAGAAGTTCCCTCAGAAGTTGATTCGGATGGTGAACCTGAAGATCAATTGTCCGATCCTGAAAATGTGGAAACAAGAGGTTTAAAAAGAAAACGCAAAATCAAGAAAACAAAAAAAAAATCCAAGAAAGAATTTCAAGAGTCAGGTAGGGTCTTTATTGTGGGCTTATGAAGTTAATTTAATTTTAATTTATTAAATATAGGAACAAGCACAGAAACAGAAACTAAAACTAAAGTAAATGAAGATGTAAAGAAAAAAGTTGAAGATGATATATGGGCTGATTTTATGAAAGACACTGGATTTCAGTCCAGAGATAGTAGACTAAGTGGAACAAGCCAGCCGACAAAGTTAGAAGTGCCAAGTTGTAAACCTGAAATGAAGCAAACTGAAACAAAAAAATCTCATCCAGAAACAGTTAAAATAACACAAATATTTGAGTTTGCAGGTGAGGAAGTGAAGGTGGAAAAGCATGTTCCTGTAGATTCAGCTGAAGCAAGACTTTGTCAACCTTCCAATTCCAATAGCCAAAAAACCCCAGTAAGAAGTAGTCTTAGTGGGATAAGTAGTGTTTTAAGTCAGCTTGGTAAAAAAGCAAAAATTAGCACTTTGGAAAAAACAAAACTGGACTGGGACAGTTATAAAAAGCAAGAAAATATTGAGGAAGAACTTCAAAATTACAATAAAGGAAAAGATGGGTATGTTTTATAACTTTAATTTAAAAGTTATTTATAATTATTGTAATTTTTTAGGTATTTAGACAGACAAGATTTTTTGGAAAGAGCAGATCATCGAAGGTTTGAGATTGAAAGGGAAATAAGAACTATTGAAAGAAACAAAAGGATGAACAATACTTTATAAATTGTATGTAATTGAAAAAATATATGACAGTATTTATTGTCTTTGGTATTTATATAGTTTAGTTTATTCATTGATTTTACAAACTATGTAATTTAGAATTAAAATATGTTTACTTCCAGTAATATTTTTACTTTTTATTATATGATTTATTATTTTTGTAGTAAAAACTTAAAAGACCTATATGTATTTTAATGGGGTTGGGAATCAGTGTATAACCACTTCCCATATAGAGATTAGTCACTAAAATAGTACATTATAGACCAGGTGGAGGAAGCTCATATTATAACATCATACATTTTACTGCCTAGGTGCTATCCAAGACAATATATTGTGTTCAAGGCAGTTAATAGGCTTTCGCCGCTATGTTTTATATTAATTTTTTTTAACATTTGATTACAGTGTTTCTTAAGGATTTTGTCACATCATTTTTAGGTAAGGTTGAACTGACATGATGACATTTTAGCTTTATTTTTGTAAAGACGTCTATAATAGCCTTGTTCCTACCAAGCATTTGGAATGTCAAATGGACATGCGCAATATTAAAGTCTTGACCATATTTTCGTATTGCTCATAATTTGATAACGCAACGTCATTAGCCACACTGCAAACGAAAAAATATTGACTGTATTTAAAGCACTCTACAGTGAATTAAAGATTTGTGATAAATGAATGCCTGTTGATGGTATTGAGCACGTGAAAGGTTCTGGAAAGCATTGTTGTAAAAAAAAACAGGGACTACAAGTTAAATTTAAACCTTTTTTTTTCATCTAAGAGCAAGTAATAAGCCGTCCGAAAGAGTTTGCATTAATCGGTGATCGGAACACTCAAGTTAGCTGTATGATTTAATCTGAGCAATATTTAAACGCTTTAAAATACTTACGCTCTGCTTGAATTGAACTAACTGAGGTATGGAGACCTTAACTCGTCTAGTGATTAAATCTTAACCAGCTCATGTTATAATTAAAAATCTAATCCTAACAACCCGGACAACAATCGGGATTTCCTGGTGAAGTCATGATGATATCACAACGTGATTTTTTTGATCACGCTGTGATATCCTGAGTGCATACACATGCTTCATCACAGTGATATCATGTAAAACTCACGGTGTGATATTTGCAAAATTTGCGCATGCTTATGAGCCCTGCGAACTGCGAATTTAAAACCTATAGGTTTTAAATTCGCAGTTCGCAGGGCTCATACATATACGAGGTGTTATGTAATTAATGTTTTATATTAAAATACTGAATACCTTTTGACATAAGGAGTAAAGGAAAAATATTTAAAAAAGTATTTTTCCAAAGAAGAAAAAAATATGCATTATAAGTTAATTTAATAATTTTTCTCTTAGTGTACGAACGTGGCGCAAAAATGATTATCCTAATACCGTTGGCATAAAAAATCACGACTGATTTTTTAGGCCATCGGTCAATCGCAAACAGCGATGGCATAAAAAATCACGACATGATTTTCATTTCTCACGAAGTGACATCCGGATGATGTCCGTATGAATAAAATTTGTGAAAATCACGACGTGACGTTCGTATGATTTTCATTTATAACGCGGTGACTTCCGTATGATATCAGAATGAATAAAATTTGTGAAAATCACGAATGTTGTCCGGGAAATACTGTAAGGATTTAATCATTTAAAGAGTGGTCAGTTGTTTTTTAGGTGTGGTTTTTTTTTTGAGGACCGCTCATGACAAAAATAATAGGTGTTTTCGCGGTGCTAATCCTGAACTAGTTCGGACATCCTAGGCATGCGCATTTTAATATTTGTCATGTGCACTTTACAATTTGAACGACAAATTTAAAAAAACGCATGCCGGAATTAGTTCGGGATTAGCTCCGTGAAAATAGCTAATGTTTGCAGATGTTCGCGGAAAGCTCAGTAAAATTTGACAAACTTAACTAAATTTAGTTATACTTATACGTGTATACTTAAGTATACACGAGAAAAAGGAAAACAAAAAGCGCGAATGAAACCAGACGTTTGCGTACGAAACAGGACCGAAATGGACAAAGGAAATACAGGCAAACCGAACGCGGATGAAAGCAGAGATTTGCAATTAAAAGCAGATGTTTGGAGATGTTCGCGGATAAAAGCAGATATTTGCGGATAAATGCAGGTGTTTGCGGATAAAATCAGATGTTTTCGATTAAAATCAGAAGTTTGCGGATAAAATCAGATATTTGCGGATAAAAGCAGATGTTTGCGGATAAAAGCAGATGTTTGCGTATAAAATCAGATGTTTGCGGATAAAAGCAGATGTTTGCCGATAAAAGCATATGTTTGCGGATAAAATCAGATGTTTGCGGATAAAAGCAGATGTAAGCAGATTAAAATAGATGTTTGCGGATAAAAGCAGATGTTTGCGGATAAAACCAGATGTTTGGAGATTAAAATTTTAACAGATGTTTGCGGATAAAAGCAGATGTTTGCGGATAAAATCAGATGTTCGCGGATAAAATGAGATGTTTGCGGATAAAAGCAGATGTTCGCGGATTATTGCAGATGTTCGCGGATAAAACAGATGTTCGCGGATAAAAGCAGATGTTTGCGGATAAAAGTAGATGTTTGCGGGTGATTGCAGATGTTCGCGGATAAAAGCAGTTGTTCGCGGGTGATTGCAGATGTTCGCGGATGAAAGCAGATGTTTGCGGATAAAAGCAGATGTTCGCGGATAAAATGAGATGTTTTCGAATAAAAGCAGATGTTCGCGGATGATTGCAGATGTTCGCGGATGAAAGCAGATGTTCGCGGGTGATTGCAGATGTTCGCGGATAAAAGCAGATGGTTGCGGGGGTGCACTAACCGGATGAAATCAGGCGTTCGCAGATAAAAGCATGTTTGTGGGTGAAACCGTATGAAAACAGATGTTTGCGGATAAAACCAGACGTTTGCGGATGAAAGCAGATGTTCGCGGGTGATTGCAGATGTTCGAGGATAAAAGCAGTTGTTCGCGGGTGACTGCAGATGTTCGCGGATGAAAGCAGATGTTCGCGGATAAAAGCAGATGTTGGCGGATAAAATCAGATATTCGCGGATGAAAGCAGATGTTCGCGGATGATTGCAGATGTTCGCGGGTAAAAGCATATGCTCGCGGATAAAACCAGACGTTTGCAGATAAAACCCGACAAAAATAGACGAAAAAAAATGCAGGTAATCGCGGATAAAAACAGACGTAAGCAGACGTTTGCAGATGATTCCGGACAAATTCAGATATAAACGAAACACAGTGAAGACGGTTAAAAACAGATGATTGCAGATGATTGCGGGGGTGCACTAACCGGACATAAAACACAACCAACCGGGTGTTTGCGGATATAGCGATGCGGACAAAAGCAGATGTTATCAGATGTTATTTTTACCTGCTTTTATCTGCTTTTATCCGGCTTCGACGAAGAATTTATACCCGCAATCATCTGCTTTTATCCGGTTTTGACGAAGAATATCCGCAATCATCCGTCATTTTCAGCAGGGATGAAATAAAATTTAAATGTTTTGTATTTTGATAACGATTATAAAAATGAACCCTTTAATAAACTACTATGGGAGTATTATTGTAAATATAATAATAAAATAAATACCTAATAATATTTATTTATTCAACACCCATTTCAGTTCTTAACTTTCACCGGAGGGCGAAATTTTAATTTTCCCACTAGCTAGCGAAATAGCATTTCGCCCATCGGCTGAAGTTGTCTTTTTCAATCTGAACACAGAATCACTGAGTTCAGAGGTAATAGCCTTTAGCTTAATTAAAAGCTATTTGGCCATCTCATTATGTTTTTTGAAAATTTAATATGATCAAGCCGGACCAGGTCTAGACTTGACGTTTTATGGATCTGCCGTTCGGCCTGGCTAAGCCGAGAATAACCTAAATAGGACGTCTCTTTTCACACAGCACAGGATGTCCAAAGGGCGTCCCATTGGACGTCCTTTGGACATCTTGTACTATGTGGGTTGGCTATCATGCCTAAACTTTTAGGTCAAGCAATTTTCGGATATGTAATAAATTGTGAGAAATATCATGTAAGTACGAATTATATAAAGCACCTATTTTTATGAGGTTACTCGAAAGATCTTTTGCCTTCTTTGGATGTTCGTGGGACAGCCTGAGGCGGTCAGAGAGACAAACAAATCGATAAGCCTTATTATAAGAAAGATTCATTTACAAAAAACAGAAGTTTATTATTAAATATAGTTTATAATATCTATTCGTTCTTCAATTGATTAATCGTTTAAATTATTTAAATGTACCTATTATAACGTATTGTAGCGAGTACCGCCCTGGATATCGGAGTCATGACTCATCGCCGATTAGTCATTGCCGGTGAGTCATCGCCGGTGACTCAGCGCTCGAATAATCGAGAATGTGGAGCTCGCTGGAATGTTACAGAATACTTGGGCCCTGAATATATAAGAAACGGAGCAACACAGAGCAGTTAGTTGAGCTTTGGTACGCGCGAAGAAATAAATAAATATAAGTGCAAATAAATAAACTAGTAGTAATATAAATAATTAGTAGTTAACTATGATTTCGCGAAAGAATCGAACGATTTTGGGGTATTTTTTTATAACACATCTCAGATTTTTTTTATATTTTAATATTGTGTTTATACATCTAATTCCACCCTAAATCTAAAATTTTTCTTTTATCTGACCTAAACTTTGGCTCCCAGAGACCATTTAATTTTACCTTTCGCAAAAAGCCATAATTTCATTAGCATAATTTTTTTATTAAAATACTGAATGTTTTGAGATGTGGTCCATAAATGACCCTTATTAGTACCTACAATTCTACCAAAAAAAAATAATTTTTTTACATATAGGTGGCGCTGCAATTTTTTCTTCTTCAAAAATAGACGTTTTTTAAAGACCAAAAACTCTCTTAAGCAACAATGCTCAAAAAAACTAAATAGTATACCAGATAATATACATATTCCTTTATAATTTGATATGTAAAAATTTACTTGCAAATGATGTTGCCGCCCGTAAAGCCAACTTAAAGTTTTGTTTACCGCATTAAAAAAAATTGAATTACACTTACAACTTTATTCTTATTTATTAACTAAGAAATTCCAGGAGATTACTTTTATTGGTAACAATAACACAGCAAAAAAAAGTTTTATTTTTTCACACCCAGGGGGCGCTGCAGCCCCCCAGAGTTA